AAATTTTAAAGAGAAGCGTGCAACTGCTTCTCCATCTGAAATATTGTTAAAATTTAAGTGCATGATTAATTGTTTCGATGAGTAGAAGGCCCAACACGTGGGCATAATTCCTGACCTAATTAACATCTTCATTAAAATAAATTAAGTTCGAGGAAACAAAGAAAATCTGAAAAACATGATTTTTTTTCTGATTACTTCTAAAAATAAGTTTTAATTTAAAATATAAGATGTCTTAAAATAATTAAAAAACTTTTTTAAATTTATTTTTATTAATGTAAAAGTATTTAATATAATCATACCGTTATTTAAAATTAAAAATAAAAATAAAATTACATATTATATTATATAAAAATTAATTTTTTTTAAATATGTAAAAAAATTTAAAATATTTTACAATAAAAAGGGAGTATTTATTATGCTTGCAATAAGAAAACAAACAATTATATTTTTATGCTTAAGGATAAAGAAAAATCATATCCTCTGAATTTCTGTCCTTTCTGGCTAGTTCTTCTTTCTTTCTTTCCATGTTTCAAGTTTCAACTTTCATCCTTCGTTTTCCACATCAGACTCAGAAATACCAAACCAACCGTGCGACTGTTGTTTTATTTGTTGCCGTTGCAAATAATAAAATATGGTAATTGGAAAACGTATACATAGATAATCCGGACAGGTTTTCTCTTTCGTTTCAGATATAGAAAGCCGAATAAATACTTCTCACCAAGAACCATTCCATTCAAAAAAAAAAGGAAATCTTTTGAAAACGATGATTTCAAATCTATTCTATTCACAAAAAATTACGTTGATGCAAAATTATTAATTAATTAATCATGGCAAGAGGAGTAAAATCCAGCCATTAAAATAAATAAATTCCTTCTTAGGAACCGTCGTAACGTTGGGCTAATTTTTCTTTCATGCCAATCGACTAAATTAAAAAAAAAAAAAAACTCAACGAAAAGTCGGCGACGTATTATCTGGTTGATTTTATCAGACTTTAGTACAGTTGGCCAAACTTTTTTTTTTAATTTATTTAGAAAACAATTGGACTCTATTATTACAGAGCAAAACAAAGATTATTTCGGGATCTGAAAAATGAAATTGTTACTGATTTTGCACCGCGAAATGTTTGGTTTGGTGATGATTTTGCTCCTCTTGACAAAATTTCAGAACACTAGAAAGAACATGATCGAAGTGCGTGATCATCGTCGTCCCCATCACTTTTGCAAGTCTAGCCGTTTCTGTTCTGCTTTCTAACGTTAAAAATCATTTCCTCAGGTCCATTGGCTCTAGCGTCCCAAAGGAGCACTACAGATTCTACATAATTATCAGAATCGAAATTGCTGAAGTAAAGCTAGCGTTAGCTGTAAAAACATGGTAATTGAATTTTCTTTTCTTTTGATTTAACTTTATCCATACCACGTGTAGCTCTTGATGGTTTCATTTTTGCCCGCCCACTTTTTTTTTTTTTTTTATCCTTTTTTTCAAAGGACTGTGCCAACCTCCTTACAGCATAAAGGCAGAGAAGAAGAATAGGGGAGAGAGAGAGAGACAAAGCATAGTGAACCCAGAGATCTGACCAAAACCAGAACCAACATGAGGAAATGGAAAGGTGAGAAAAGGAAGGAGGAAAAGAAATAAAGAAGCAGCTGAGGTTGTTTATCGCCTCTGGTGGTGATCGGAACCGATTATTATTAGTATTATTTTTTTTTGGTGAGTTATTTGATAGCTGAATTATGTGCTTCACAATTTGTTGCGAGAATCTTTCTGCTTTGGTTTTCTTTTGTGCCGGAGTGCATTAACGGTTGATCTCTTGCTCTTCTTGGAACCTTTTCTGTATCTTCTCCTCTCTTGTCACTGAATTTTGTTCTGATCTTTAGTAATTATTATATGGAGCGTTACTTGAAATGAGTTTGATAATTGATCAGTGGTCGAATCATATGGTCACTGTCTCAAGGTTACAGTAGTTCTTATTAAAACTTGAGGAAAGCGGTTGATTTGTTGACATCTAGTGAATATTGATTTTGTTCTCATAATTGTCCGAGTTCTGATTCTTTTTTGGGTCGTTGATCCCTTTTCTGTAACAGAGATCGGGACTGCCTCCTACAAACTTCCCGAACTTGTTTTAATTAGTGATTTTGTCTTTGATCGGGTAGTTTGTATTGACCTGGCGATAGCAGATATTTTATTCTTTAACTCCTGTGAAAGCTATCAGAGATCAGAGATAAGTTCTAGATAACATCCTGGAACTTGGATTTTGCTGATAAAGTGATCAGTGGTGCTTTTCATTATTTGTATTTGATATTTCAATTTCAGGAAAAAAAGCCTTTAATTTTTTTGGTACATTTCAATTGATCTGACACTGAGATTTTGCATTGCTTTTATTTTGTCTATTCCATGACTATGTACAAGCAGCAACAGAGACTCGGTTTCCCATCGTTGGTGTGGATTTCGGTGGTCTAACGCACACTTGCCACTTCTAGCTTGTATCATCCAAATTTTGCGGATTAAGTCCCTATAACATCAGAAGAGAAAGCGTTGGTGTTATTAGCTAGAGCTATGGCAGCCAAGCCCCAAGCAGATTTTAAAAGAAAGTATTCGTGGTGGTGGGACAGCCACATAAGTCCAAAGAACTCAAAATGGCTTCAAGAAAATCTGACCGGTACTGCTCCAATTTTTTCTGGTTTTGCTATTGAAGTTGCTGTAGCTAGCTTTAGAGATTGATGTGAACCATGTATGTTTTCACTTATTGATGGGAGGAAGAAATGCCTTTGACATGAAACTTCTAGCAAGTAACTCTGATTGAGTGATTTTCTTTCTGTCTAGCTTTCATTTACTTAGCCATTATGAACTCTTACTGAGATGGCAATGAATCCGCACAAATTATGACTTAAATGCATTTGGAGTTTAAAGCTGCTAACTAGATAAATGTGCACGAATCTTGTTTGAGCACAGTCCTTTTAGTGAATAGTGACGTCTGTTATAATAGTATATGTTGACTCAAACAATACAGATTTCACTTCCTGGTGCACTGACCCAAGATGATGCACTTTATGAGACTATGAATGAAAATGTCATCACCAAATATGTTATATGTTACTGAATTTTAATTTTTTATCCTACTCTATTGAAAAATCTTCTTGTCCTACAACAGTAAATTTTGAAGGAAGCATAACAAGATGGTTTTGTTTTTAATTTTATAAAATGTCAGCCTTCTCTGTTATGACATGTGCACAATGGTGGTCTCTGTGGTGCGAAACCATATCTAGCCCTAGTACTTCTTGTATCACATTTTTTATTTCATTTATAGCGGGTATTTGCCTTATTCCTCAGGGTATATGCGACAATATTTCCTTCTGGGAATTGTGCTGTTGGCACTTAAGCACTTGTGGAGAAATGTTTTAGATAGCATTAGACTGGCATATGCTTTTTTCAAAACCTGATTGGAGTCGTACTCTTAACTGTATTAGATATTGATTAGTTTACAGATTGAGCATATTGTAAACTTAATGTAAATGTAAACATTATTTTATATAGATTCCATATTTTCTCTAATAAAAAGCTTGATTGCCTAAACATGCTTAGCAATGCCTTCCTCTCTTGAACAGATATGGATTCCAAGGTGAAGCAGATGATTAAGCTTATTGAAGAAGATGCAGATTCCTTTGCCAGGAGGGCAGAAATGTATTATAAAAAGCGCCCGGAGCTTATGAAATTGGTTGAAGAGTTTTATAGGGCATACCGTGCTTTGGCTGAAAGATATGATCATGCAACTGGGGTCATCCGCCAAGCTCAACGGACTATGGCTGAAGCATTTCCCAACCAAGTCCCTATGTTACCGGCAGATGATTTACCAAGTGTTCCTTTTATGGAGGCTGAGCCACGAACTCCTGAGATGTCTCACTCTTCTCGTGCTTTTATGGACCCTGATGAAGTGCAAAAGGATGCTTGTGGAAACCCTTCATCTAATTTCTATGCTATTAAAAGAAATGGAGCTTTTACTGAAGAACCTGATTCTGCTAAAAACAGAAGGGGCTTGAAACAGCTCAATGATCTCTTCATGCCTGGAGAAGGACGCGCTAGAAAAGAGCTCAATTTTCATGATGTGGATAATGATAATAATAAAAAAAATGATGGGAACCATGACATCAGAGCTCAAGTTTTGTCTGAGTCTGAACAGGTGACGAGGGCCGAGGCAGAAATTTTGGCATTAAAAAGAGCTCTTGCTAACTTGGAAGATGAAAAGGAAGCTGGCTTGCTTCAATATCAGCAGAGTTTGGAGAGATTGTCTAATCTAGAGTCAGAAGTATCTCATGCAAAAGACAATTCCCGGGAACTCAATGAACGAGCAGGCAAGGCTGAAGCAGAAGTTCAAACTTTGAAAGAAATTCTTAGTAGATTGCAGGCTGAAAGGGAAACTAGCCTTCTTTGGTACCAGCAGTGCTTGGATAAAGTATCCAACCTGGAGAAAAATATTTCCTCTACTGAAAATAACATCGGAGAACTTAATGAAAGAGTTATTAGAGCTGAAACGGAGGTTGAATCCCTTAAAAAAGACCTTACTGCAGTAGAAGCTGAAAAGGAAGCAGCCCTTGATCAGTACAAACAGTGCTTGGAGACAGTATCGAAGTTAGAGGACAGATTAGTACTAGCTGAGGAGAATGCTAGAAAGATTAATGAGCAAGCTAATAAAGCTGGAAATGAAATTGAGGCCTTGAAGTTTGAAATTGCTAAACTAACTGAGGAGAAGGAAGATGCAGCTCTTCGTTATCGGCAATGCTCGGAAATAATTTCCAGTTTGGAGCATAAACTTTCTTGTTCTGAAGAGGAGGTGCGTAAGCTAAATTCCAAGATAGATGACAGTGCTGAAAAGTTGCTGAGTTCCGAGCAGAAGTGTCTACTCTTGGAAACATCAAATGAAAATATGCAGTCTGAACTGCAGTCTTTGGTGCAGAAGTTGGGCTGTCAAAATGAAGAACTTAGTCAGAAGCAAGAGGAATTTTGTAGGCTTTGGAATTGCATACAAGAGGAGAGGTTACGGTTTGTAGAGGCTGAAACGGCTTTCCAAACTCTTCAGAATTTGCACTCTCAATCTCAAGAAGAACTGAGATCTATTGCTGCTGAACTTCACCATAACGCTGAAGTTCTGGAGAATGTAGAATTTCACAAGCAGGCTTTAGAAGATGAAGTACAAAAGGTCAAGCAGGAAAACAAAATTCTAAATGAGTTCAAAATTTCTTCATCTTTGTCTACTAAAAATTTGCAGGATGAAATATTAAATCTGAGGAAGACAATAGAGAAACTCGAACAAGATGTTGAACTGCGAGTAGATGAGAGAAATGCTCTCCAGCAAGAAATTTACTGTCTTAAAGAGGAGCTTAGTGATGTGAATGAAAGGCATGATGCCATGATCGAGGAGGTTAGTTCAACTGGCTTAGATCCACGATGCTTTGGGTTTACTGTGAAGAAATTACAGGATGAGAATTCAAAGTTGAAAGAGACGTGTGAGGCTGACAGAGGTGAAAAAGCAGTTCTTCTGGAAAAATTGCAGATAATGGAGAAACTTTTGGAGAAAAATACTGTTTTGGAGAATTCGCTCTCAGACCTAAATGTTGAATTAGAAAGTGTCAGAGGAAAGGTACAGTTCTTAGAAGAAACGTGCCAATCTCTACTCGAGGAGAAATCCACTCTCACTGTTGAGAAGGCTAGCTTGTTTTCTCAGTTGCAAACTATGACTGAGAAGCTAGAGAATGTTTCCGATAAGAACAACCTTCTGGAAAATTCATTATTTGATGCCAATGCTGAACTTGAAGGATTAAAGGTGAAGTGGAAAAGCTTAGAAGACTCACACCAATTACTTGGCTTTGAGAAGTCCAATCTGATCTCTGAGAAAGAAACCTTAGCGCAACAGTTGAACGTTGCTCATCGAATGCTGAAAAGTATCGAGAATCAACATAGTGAGCTGGAACTAAGGCATTTGGAACTGAAAGGTGAGAAGGAATCTGCACTTCAAAAGGTGGAGGAGCTTCTGGTTTCATTTTATGCAGAGAGGGAAGAACACTGCAGAATTGTGCAATTGAATGAGAGACACTTGGCTGAGAAGGAATTACAACTTCATATTGCACAAGAAGATGCAAATTGTAGGAAAAAGGAATACGAAGAAGAACTGGATAGAGCTGCACATGCTGAAATTGAAATTTTCCTCTTGCAAAAATGCATCCTGGATCTGGAGGAAAAGAGCTTCTCCCTTTTAGTTGAGTATCAGAGACTATTGGAGAAATACAAAATTTCTGAGAAATTGGTATCAAATTTGGAGAATGAAAAGGTTCAAAAGCAGGTTCAGATGAATTCTTTGTTTGACAGAATCAAAATACATAGGAGTGGGCTGCTTCAGGTGTCGAAGGCTCTAGACCTTAACAGGGACCATTCTTTTGATGATATGGCTGAACAAGACCACATTCTTCTGGACCATATACATGGTAAAATTCAGGAGAGACAGAAATGTCTAGATACAATTTTCAACGAAACCACCACCTGGCCATTGAGAATTCAGTTCTTGTCACATTCCTTGGGCAGTTGAAGCTAAAGGCGGAAAAACTTGTGACAGAAAGAGATTCCCTTGATAAGGAGTTGAGGATCCAGTCTGAGCAGTTATTGGCCTTACAAGCAGAGGTCCGAAGCATACAAGAGAAGAATCAAGAATTGAAACTGACTATAAGCAAGGGAGAACAGAGAATTGAAGAAATGGCTACTAAAACAGGGGTTCTACTTCAGCAGCTGTCGGACTTGGAGCGGGCTCACAAAAACTTACAGGATGAAAGTTGCAATACATTGGAAGAGAAAAATTCCTTGATGAGAAGATTCTTAGATCTGGATGAAGAGAAAGGCAACTTGGAAGAAGAAATCTGTGCCATGATTCATGATACAATGGCTCAATCTAATATTTCTCTGATCTACCAGAACATTGTCTTTGAAAAGGTCCTGGCACTCAGAGAGCTAAATGAAGATCTTGGTGAACTTTGTTCAGTAAATGACGACCTCAAGAATAGGTTGAAAGCTATGACAGAAAAATTAGAAGATGTACAAGTGGAAAATTCATATCTTAAGGAGTCATTTGACAGATCAAGCATTGAACTAAAATCAGTTCAATCTGTCAATGATCAGTTGGGTTGTCAGATTCAGAAAGGAAAGGAATTGCTGTCACAAAAGGAAAGCGAGCTTTTGGTTGCATCAGAAATGTTTAGAGCTTTGCACACTGAGAAAACAGAGTTGCAAGAAATGTTGGAAGATTTAAAATTTAAGTACGATGAAGCCAAGGTGATACTTGATAATCAAACTCGTCAAATTTTGAACTTATCCTCAGACAAGGATCATCAGAATGAAGAGCTCAGATGTCTGCGTGGAGTGAATCAGAAGTTGGAGTCTAAAATGGGACTCCTTTGTGAAGAACTTGAAGAAACTAGACTAAGAGAAGTGAAGTTAAATTATCAACTCAAGGAGGGAGCAAATGAGATTGAGCTCTGGGAAACTCAAGCTGCCACACTCTATGAGGAAGTGCAGATATTTACTGCCAAGGAAACTTCAGCTGAAGGAAAGTTTCATGAGCTAGCCTATACTTGTGAGAGTCAGAATGAAGAGCTCAGATGTCTGCGTGAAGTGAATCAGAAGTTGGAGTTTGAAATGAGGCATCTTCGTGAAGAAGTTGAAGAAACTGGACTGAGAGAAGAGAAGTTAAATTGTCAACTCAAGGAGGGAACAAATGAGATTGAGCTCTGGGAAACTCAAGCTGCCACACTCTATGAGGAAGTGCTGGTATCTACTGCCAAGGAAACTTTAGTTGAAGGAAAGTTTCGTGAACTAGCCAATGCTTGTGAGAGTCAGAACGAAGAGCTCAGATGTCTGCGTGAAGTGAATCAGAAATTGGAGTCTGAAATGGGGCATCTTTGTGTAGAAGTTGAAGAAACTAGACTGAGAGAAGAGAAGTTAAATTATCAACTAAAGGAGGGAACAAATGAGATTGAGCTCTGGGAAACTCAAGCTGCCACACTCTATGAGGAAGTGCAGGTATCCACTGCCAAGGAAACTTTAGTTGAAGGAAGTTTCACGAGCTAGCCAATACTTGTGAGAGTCAGAATGAAGAGCTCAGATGTCTGCGTGAGGTGAATCAGAAGTTGCGGTCTGAAATGGGGCATCTTTGTGAAGAAGTTGAAGAAACTAGACTGAGAGAAGAGAAGTTAAATTATCAACTCAAGGAGGGAACAAATGAGATTGAGCTCTGGGAAACTCAAGCTGCGACACTCTATGAGGAAGTGCAGGTATCCACTGCCAAGGAAACTTTAGTTGAAGGAAAGTTTCACGAGCTAGCCAATACTTGTGAGAGTCAGAATGAAGAGCTCAGATGTCTGCGTGAGTTGAATCAGAAGTTGGAATCTGAAGTGGGGCATCTTTGTGAAGAAGTTGAAGAAACTAGACTGAGAGAAGATAAGTTAAATTATCAACTAAATGAGGGAACAAATGAGATTGAGCTCTGGGAAACTCAAGCTACCACACTCTATGAGGAAGTGCAGATATCTACTGCCAATGAAACATTAATTGAAGGAAAGTTTCGTGAGCTAGCCAGTACTTGTGAGAGTCTTGAACGTGAACATAACAATAAAAGTATTGAAGGTGAACGGATGAAAGAAAGAGTTAGCAAGTTGGAAGATCAAAATGGAAGATTACATGACCAGTTGGCTGCTTATGTCCCAGCTGTCAGTGCTTTGAAGGATTGCATCGCATCTTTAGAGATGCGGACTCTTGTGCATGCAGAACTACACAGCTGTGAAAAATCAAAGGTACTAACATATTTTCTGTTTCTTTTCCCATCATATTGCCTCAGAATTCATTGTTCCGCTATTTTAATTTCTGTGAATGTCTGTGCGTGTCTTCCTGAACGAGGGAAGGAAAATATTTTTGGAGGTTTAAATGTTGTGTTTTGGATTCCTTGACATGTTGCACTCCTGTGTGCTTGAGACATGGTATGGAACTGTTGGGCTAAACGCCCGTGGTCACCCCAATCCTAATCTGTCTATTCTAATATCTCTAGTTGTTTACCGTGACTTGGACTGCTGTCAAATATTGCAAGCCTGTGTGGCAGAATGAAAATGTCAACCGCACATATCTTATGCTTTTTTTTCCCTTCACAATTTGTTCATCCTGAAGGCTGAAATCTAACCTGCGCATGCCTACATTTTCTTTGTTCTTATTGGCGGCTTTAATTTTTGAGTTAAACAATAGACTGCCTGTTTGAATGCTTGAGGCCATGTAATAATGTAGGCTGCTGCTGTCTCAGATGTCATTGTAAAAAGTTTGGGCATTGGTGGATTTCCTTGTTATATAGTATGATTGCTTTATTCCCCTTTCTTCAATTATACCACAGTATTCTATTGCATGCTCTTCTGGATATCATAATGTGGCTTGTATTCACCATTATGCAGGTTAATAATTTGACGAACCACCAATACACTGAAGGAGATCCACAAACAAGTGAAAACCACATTACCATGGCGCCAGATGCACTTCCAGACATTCAAGAAATGCAGAAAAAGATCAATGCAATCGAAATGGCTGTTAAACATTTGAATGAAATTTTCAAACCAAAGGATGAATTGAGGGAGATTCAGGAGTTACAAACTGGAATTAGATGGAATCGAGAAAACACTCATTCTAGCAACCGTGGCACTCGAATAAATAAAGCAAAAGAGCATCAGGATGGGACTATTGATAAGCAGAAGATAGGGAAATCAATTCCAGACATTCCTGTGGCAGAGAATGAAGTTTTGACAAAAGACATCATGCTTGATCAAATGTCTGAAAGCTCATCCTATGGGATAAGTAGGAGAGGAACTCCTGAGGTTGATGATCAGATGCTCGAGCTATGGGAAACTTCTAACAGGGATAGTAGTATTGGCCTCGGAGATGGTAAGGTGCAACAAGAGCCAACCACCGGACCAGCCAACTACCATCAGATAGGAGTAACCAAAGAACCCAAAAATAAGCATCGCTCTGTAGAATCATTGGTTGAGAAGGAGTTGAGTGTGGACAAACTAGAGATCTCAAGAAGATTGACACAGCCACGTGAAGAAGACAACAAAGGGAAGATTATAGAAAGACTTGATTCTGATGCACAGAAGTTAGCAAACCTTAAAATTACTGTGCAAGATTTGATCAAGAAGATTGAGACCACTGAGAAGAGCACAAAGGGAAAAGGAAATGAGTATGATAGTGTGAAAGGGCAGCTTGAAGTTGCTGAGGAGTCCATCACTAAGTTGTTTGATGCTAACCGCAAGCTAATGAAGAATGTAGAAGAGGGTAAACTGTCCTTTGTTGAAAATCCTGAACCAGAGTCAGACGAGAGTGGAAGCACCAGCAGGACGAGAGTTTCCGAACAGGCACGGAGAGGATCAGAGAAAATTGGACTTTTGCAATTGGAGGTGCAGAGACTACAATTTCTTCTGCTGAAACTTGATGAAGAGAGAGATATCAAAGGAAAAGCAAGAATGATGGCGGATCGAAGTCCAAGAGTCCTTTTGCGAGACTATCTCTATGGATTTGGAGGGACGAGAAGCAACCAGAAAAAGAAAAGGGCACATTTTTGTTCGTGTGTGCACCCACCCACCAAAGGAGATTAGTCAAGTAAGCAATCTATCGGCTGATTATTAGCAAAATCCTTGCTTCTTAGAATATACGAGGCATTAGCTTTCTTGTTTGTAAATTTTCTTTTCAAGAGTTTATCCATGAGACCCAAAAGGTTTTTTCGGTGCCATGGTAGAAACTGCCCTTCATTTTGCTTCCAGCTTCTATTTGTGCATATCGTGCTGCCTCTTTAAATTTTTGCCATTTCTTTAACTGAATAATAACCTCTCCTTCCATGCTGGAATTTGTTGAAGTTATTCATGATAAGCATAAGGCATAGAACACCCGTGGTTGTGAAGAATAATTATTTGCCTATATGATTATGTTGTTTAAATAGTCCTCTTTGTCTATTATATGGAGAGCCTTTTTCCCCTCTTAATGAACAAAGGCTATGGTTTAGAAAGAGAGAAGAGGATTAACAAAGAGGAGTATTACGCTTTGTTACATCCATCAGTGTATAATGGATGCTCTCACCTAATCAACCATAGTCAACCTTCTGTCCTTTTCAATTATGCTTTTTTTTTTTTTTTTTGATTCGTGCGTCTCAGATAGTATAATAGTCAATCTAGAAATCCTGTAGAGTCTAAAATATAAGACATGTAAGTCTGAGATAGTATCTTTGCATTCAATTCACAGGCTCACAGCTATACATTATGAGTATAACACGCAAGCCAGCTTATACCTTAATTTGTGTGAGTGAGTTTGAGCTGTTCATATTTTTTAAAGTATTGTGTTAAAAAATAGCATAAGGCATGTTGGATCTCTCAACGTGTAATCAATAAGGGATTTTTTTTTTCTTTCAGAAACATTCTTAATTAGGGATGTAATTAATAAATGTAAAATAGAACGAATATATATTATTAAATTCCTTTTCAACTTTTTTTCTATTAAAAAAGAGTGTATAACTAAAAAAAAATTATATTATATATAATTTTGATAAAATTTAGTGAAGTTTGTATGATTCATCATCCATCAAATAATCAAATAAACCTCATAAAAGAGCAAAAAATGGATGCACTAAAAATAGTAAATATTTGACTAAATTACATGACAGTATTCAGTTTCCACTTACCATAATTGCAGCGTAACAGACGACTAATTGAACTAATCAACCAGCATTAAGAATAACCAAATTCTGTTGGGGGGCTTTTCAGCGACCTCATGACAAAGGCACTATAAAAATTAGACCCAAAAAAGACAATAAAGGAAAAACCAAAAGGAACAGCAACGGAAGGAGCAAGGTGATTGGAATCTCTGATTTTTCTGCTGAGATCTTCATTTTTACGTTTAAAGATCACTTCATCTTTAATTAAATCAAGCTTCGATCTTCTTACGTTGGATTGGATTCAATTCAATGTATTGAAAGATCAAATGGAGACAAAGGTTAAAAACATCAAGCTTTTTGTTAAGATTAAGGCTTGGACTTTTGTGGGTGTTTTGAAGAGAGGGTGGTATAACCTCCGCATGAAATTCAAATTTTAATTTCTTATTAGCTCGATCTTAGCAAAACCCCAGATAGATTCACGATCCTTAATTGATTTTGTTCATATCTTTTTCATTTAAGTAATGCTGATAATTTAATCTCTGAATTGTTGTCTTTATTTTATTTCAATTGTAGAATATTACCAAGTGTGCAAATTAGTCAACCTTTTAAAATTCGGAAATTCGTTGTATTTCCTTGTGCAATGTCTCAAAACTTTCTCGTCTATCCTTTTCATTTTAATTGACATATTAATTGAAATATCACTGCTTTATTATTATTATTATTTTGCAGGAAAATTACAGGTTTATTCTTTTATACCTATTATCAATATTTTTTGTCTATATTTTCATGCCAGTTGGCCTGGGCTTCACTAGTCCATTTTTCTAGCAGGCTGGCCTTGCAAAAATTCAGCTCACTATGGGCTGGCCCATGGGCAACCAGTGGCTTGTATTACCTATTCTACTTATTAAAAAAAAACAAAAATAGAAATTAGAGTTTTGATATTTTTGGTCAATTTAAGTTATATTTAACGATATTTACTTATTATTATCAATAAATATAATCAAAGGGAATAAATATTCTTTCTAGTCTCTGGCCTCAATTAGATTGATTCTTGCCTTTTCTTCTTAGATTTATTCTTTTTTGGTTGTTTTACTTAATGGGTTCTCTTTAAATCAACGTTATCTTGAGCAAGAATATGAATAATTTGGTTCTTCTTATTATTTTCCTTTATCCTTCCTTTTTTATCTATTGGCAATACCTTGTCTTATATAGTTGTGTTATTCACAACTTACATAGTAATATACTTCTCGATTTTTATTGTAAGACACTTTTAATTATTTTATACATCTTAAAAAATGTTAGTTTTTTCTCAAGATAATAGAAAAAAATGATAAAAAATGTTTGAAACTAAAGACATATCAAATCCAAGGGAAAGAATGGATTGAAAAGCTATTACTAATTGTTAAATTAAGTGAAAAGAAACTTGATTCTTCTTAAGTTTTTAGAGTAAGATTGAGGATTAGAATCCATGAATTAGATTTAACAATAGTTGAATATGATTTGTTAATATTGAGGGAATTCTTATATAGTATCTTATTATATCAAAATTATGTAAATTTGGAGTTCTTATATCAATTTTTTGAAACAAATCTTAAAAAAAAAAGGAAAATCTGCTGGTAAAAAAAAAGGAAAAATCTAAGTTTTAATTTCCAAAATTTCTCTCAAGTCCCAATTCTTGATTACTTTGATTCAAAACAATTTAGTTTTTAGATTTTATTCAATTAAAAAATTATGAAGATTGAATATTTTAAAATTAAAAAATTATGTGGACTCACTTGTTTAATTAGAAAGATAAAGAGACTAATTTACTTCGAATCAAAGTTCAAGACCAACTCAATAATTAAAATAAATTAGATATCAAAAGTTATACTCTTTTTAAAAAATTGAGTTCATAATTATGAATCATTAGATTTTTCTAACAACTAAGAATTTCTCCTAATTAAATTGCTTGAAACTTAGTTAATTAAAGTGAAATTTAATTATCTTTGTAATGTAGTTTTTTAAAACACTCAAAATATGTTTGGTTAGTATTTAATAGAAGAAAATTTCTTGTGGGGTTCAAAAATTGAAAGGAAGAGAAGGAGGGTAACTCTTCGCTCCCATCCTCTTCTTCCCTTAGCTCTATCAAACACGTACTTTATGAATTTAGCTTCTTAAAATTGAATTTCTGAATTTGAAAGTAACACAACTATTTTTTTTACTAATAAATTATATTTTTTTAAAAAATTGTGACACATATAAGTTGTTTCCGTTGCTTAAATTGAGGTCGGTAATTATCTATAATTCATGATATGGTCCTTTATTTGTAATTTCACCTAATGTGAATATAATCAATGAATGAAAGGACTCCTTCAAATTCCATAAGGTCATCACTTAGTCACTTTTTACATCTTCTAGAAAGAAAAGAGAATAAAAGATTCATCCCTAAACCCTAAATACAAATTCAAATATAAATGTAAAGATTGTTAATAGGTAACTTATAAATATATTTGTAAATAAGATAATGAGATTTTTAGTCTCTAAAATTAACTTCACTTATCAATTTCACTCTTGAAATTTGATTTTTATCAATCAAAACCTAAGGTTTCATGACCATGCACTTTTATCCTTTATGGTATTATTTTTTTTATACAAATCATAAAAAATAGTTGTATATGGTTATGAAATTTTGAAAACTTTATTGATTAAAAATTAAATTTCAAGTACCAAATTAATAATTAAATCAAACTTGAGGGACCTGAAATTTCATTATCCCTCTATAAAATTTTAGGATAACAAACTTTGTAGTTTTTGAAGTTTGTCTTATTTATAGATTTGGTTTCTTATGTTTTTCTTTTAAATTATCATATTAGTTTTTTATGTTTTAAAATAAGAATTGACTTTTAAATTAATATAACTTATAAAGTGTATTGATGACTTGGCCTGTACATGTAACTAAAAAAGAATAAATTAGCCCTCAAATTATCTTACTCCCTCTGTCTCTATATATAAAATATTTTTTGAAATCTTATTTTGTTCCTAAATGTAAGAGATTGTTAGCATTTTTTAATAAATGAACCATTATGCCCTTATTAAATTGAAAAGAGAAAAAGATACTATTCTCATTAATTTACTTTGAAAAAAGAGATTTATTTTTTATTTACAATAAGTAAAGGCAAAATTAAAATATTACTATACTTTTAATTAGATAATTAACTTTTATTGATTTACGTAATTCAATTAAAAACATCTTTTATATAAAAATGAAAGGAGTAGTTTTTATCAATATAGTCTCTTATGTTGTATTTCATTTTTTTTTTGTTTTTAAGTTTTTAAGTCTATGTTATTCTTAACTAAACAATTATATACTTCTTTTTTATTAATCCATGGTTACCATCAATATTCCATTGTCCATGCCAATAGACTTTAATAGTGTTATCTTTTCTTTGAATAATAAGGACCAAGTAAATAACTAAGGAAACTTAAAAATTAAATTGATAAAAATTAAACTTAAATGACAAAATCAATAATTAAAACAAACTTACAAGACAAAGAAATTATTATCCCTTTATAAAAATTTTTCATGTCTTGAGACTTGATCTGATTCAATATTAACTTACATTGAACTCACAAATGAAACAATAAATAATAGACAAGAGAAAAGACACAATAAGGAGCCAAGGGAGGTTGAGGTGGCAAGGCATCCAATGGATCATTAAATTATGAAATTAAATAAATACTATATATATATATATATATATATAATAGCGACAATTCGATGATGGTGAGGGGACCAAACAGAATTAAAAATTAAAAAAAAAACTCAATAAGTGATATCAAAGTCTATATATATAATAAAGCTTTGTTGTGATTCCCGGATTCATTAATTTGCAGATAGAAAGAGAAAGAGATGGTTGGACCAGTGAGGCCTGAGTTTGTGCTGTTTGGTTCCTCCATTGTTGAGCTCTCTTTTAACAATCAAGGTTGGGGTTCCATTCTCGCCCACCTCTATTCTCGTCGGGTACCTTCTTCTTCTTCTTCTTCTTCTTTGCTGACCATTTATTTTTTCTGTGATTAGTTTGGATTTATATATATGTTTTCTGTCGTAAAAATGGAGCAAGCAGATTCCAAATCCTTCGTTTGGCACTGAAATGAAATGTAATCCAGCAATATCAACCACTTGGGTTTGTTTTATTTCTAACTTTACGTTTATTTGGATCTCTCATTCATTCCTTCCTTCCAAACAAAGTCCTTCATCAGTTCTTCTTGGATTTTTTCTTTATTCTGAAAATGTTGGCTAAAATCCAAGAAA